ATATATATATATATATATATATATATATATATATATATATATATATATATATATATATAAGATTTCTTGATGTGATGGGACCCAAGGAAGGATAAGCACAGAATCCACCTATAAACACAGCTGGGAGACAATTTGTACTATATATTTTGTTTTTGTTTATGGGTGTTTTTCTTGCCTGTATATGCACATGTACATGCCTGGTACCTGTAGAGGCCAGAAGAAGGCTTCAGATCCCCTTGTCTTGGAGTTAGAACTATGATGTGTGAGCTAAGAACTAAAGCCAGTCCTCTGCAAGAGCAACCAGTGTGACTGTGAGCAACTCTGCAGTGTAAGGTTTTTAGAACTTTATTTGCTTGGGAGGCAGAGGCAGGCAGATTTCTGAGTTCGAGGCCAGCCTGGTCTACAGAGTGAGTTCCAGGACAGCCAGGGCTATACAGAGAAACCCTGTCTCGAAAAACCAAAAAAAAAAAAAAAAAAAGAACTTTATTTGCATTGTACTATGGGATACCAATCGTGTCATATGGAACTGGTGCCATCAAAGGACACCTCATAGGTGTTCTCTTCTATTTGGGTCCAGGATCAGATTCAGGCTTTGTGGCAAGCACATTTCCCTTGCTGAGCCTTTTTTTTTTTTTTAAACAGTTCCACGTGGGATTTATTCAGGAGATAGGGCAAGATGGGGGTGGGGGAGGGGAGAAGAGGAAGAAGAGAGAGAAGAGCTGCTAAGCCATTTTGATGGCCCGGTTTTGCACAATATTTTTAGTGTGTCTTTATTTTGACTGTGACCCATCACATGGGATTAGTTTTGGAATTTTCTACATGGGGTATAATAGTGTCGTCTAAGTGCGCATTTCGTATTTTCAACCAGAGATTCCAACCGTCTGTACAAAATGTTGAAGAGAAGTAGAATATGGCATGGTTAGTAAAAGTGTTCTGTAGCCAATCTATGGTTTAAACTAGCTCTGTAACCTTAGTTAAGTTACTTAACCTTTCTGTGCTTCAGCTGCCTCATCTGTAGTGAATATAACTGTCTCGTTAGCATTAAATGACTTTGAAATGCCTAGAATAATGTTTCACAGTGCAGGCTGTCTCAAGTGACCTTTAGCACTGTAATAATATGACTAATGTCATTTTCTACCTGTCATTATTGTATACAGAAATACATTTTTTTTTAATTTTAGTTTTTTAAACTATTCTTTTTAACTAGGTACTCACCATCATTCATATTAAATTGTAGATACACGTTTTACTTGAGACAAGGGTAAAGGGAGAAATGTATGATTTCTTAGAACTGACTTGTCTACAGGTAATTTTGTGGGTAAGAACACTTGTTCTTCCAGTGACCCAAGTTCAGTTCCTGGTACCCATATTGGGTAGCTTACAACTGCCTGTAACTCTAGCCCCAGGAAACTCAATATCCTTTTCTGCCATCCTTGGATACCTGCCTGCATGTGTGCACGTTTATAACCAGACACAAAAATAATAAAAATATTTCTAAGTTAAAGAATGACTAAAGTATTTTTAAAAATAATAAATAATATATATCAATTCATCTCTTCATAATTTAACAAAGTTAGTCACCCCTATGGGGAACAGTATTTTCCCCATCAGATAAAAATCTAGAGAAAGACCAGTGTTTTTTATGAATTTAAAAGAGTCTTCATGACATATTTACTCTTACTATTTAAATAATAAAATCCAGGTTATCCAAATATAATACTATACTTTAAATTCTTATCTTTGCTTTACCTCTAATTGGAATTTTACCTTGTTAATACCCCACAGCCCCAATAATCACTAGTAATGTTTTAGTTAAAGTAGCCTGTCAGATTGTTAGCTCTAATGAAAGTTCCTGTTTTTCCACACTTTGTTTCTGTGAGCATGCTTCTCAGTTAGTGCTTTAGATTTTTAAGGTTTTGTGCAACAGTTATATTTTAATCCTTAAAATTTTTTTTTTCTTCATAGGGTATAACATATGACCATGTAGAATTAAATGTATATTTGAATGGGAAAAACATGCATTGTCCAGCATCAGGTATCCGAGGGACAGTGTATCCAGTTGTATATGGTAAGCTTTCACTCTGCTGTTAGATTCATGTTAACTCTTGTTTGGCATTTATGTTAACTTTGCAGTTATCATTCAGAAGTCTGAACTAGTTGGTAATAAGGACATTTCATATGGAATATATTATATTCAGACAATTACATTATCTCTGCAGAATTAAGCATAATATTTTTTCCCTAAGTATTACAAAGGTTTTCTGAATATAGGGTGATTGTAAATAAATATCCATAAGCATGTTCCCTTTCATCATATCGTTTGTTTGTTTTTTAAATTTTTATGTGCTATTTGCCTGAGTGTGAGTCTGTGTACCACATTGTGTGCCTGGTGCTAGAAGACACTAGAAGAACTGGAGGTACAATTGGTTGTGAGCTGACAGCTGAGTGCTGGGAACTGAACCCTGGTTCTTTGGAAGAACAGCTAGTGCTTTTAACCACCAAGCCATCTTTCCAGTCCTTTATCTACACACGTAGTTTTATGTTCTAGAAAGTCCAAATTTTTTCACAAGATTTACAAATCTTTTTTTTTAACTAATTACTAGTAAAGATTAGATGACCTGGAAATGAAATTGTAGCAAGTATTTTGAAACTAGAAAATTTTAGGTGAATTGCCTTTATAAAATTACCTACATATTGTCACTCTTCTGAGAGAGATTTTGACTTAGAATAGTTTCAGATCATCTGTTTTGCTTTTGATAGCCATGATGTATTAATGCTATCATTTCTGTATAGCTGGTCCCTAAGATCAGGCAATATAGATGGCTTATGATTCCTTTATTTTTTTATTATAGAAAATTTCAAACTTTCTCATACATAAAGAGAATATTACAGTAAGTCCTCATGAACTTGTCACCCACTGTGTTATCCGTTTGGAGCCTTCTAAACCCAACGCTTCTTTTCTCCCTCCTTTTTGGATTATTTTGAGGCATATGTCAGACATACCATTTTGTTAATAAATATTTTATATTTATCTCTAAAAACAAGACCTTAAGCCAGGAATGGTGGCACATACCTCTAATCTCAGGACTTGGGACACAGAGGCAGGTGGAGATGCATAGGGAAACCCTGTCTCAGAAAAACAAAATTTCAACAACAGAAAAACAAAACTAAGGTCTTTGTCCTTTGAAAAACACTAACTGTAATGCCTTTATTATTCTGTTCTGATCTTAGTATATATCTTGCCAGCTTCAGATCAATAAACATAGGGCCTTTCTGCCTGTGGTTTACTAAGTCTAAAATATTATCTTGATTATGCAACTTAGATTTGGGTTATAATAAAAGCTATTAACTTTCTTTCTGTAGGCTAGCATATGAGAGGGGGTGTAGTCATGAGGACAAATACTAAATAAATGATAACCAAAGCCAACCATTTCTTTTTAGTTGTATTTCAGTAGTCTCCTTTTCTCCTTAAAACTCATTTTCAGTGATTTTTACTTTTTATATCTTTGTGTATTTTTTTATTCCTTGATTGTCTCATATATATGTATAGTCATGATGGTCATTTATACTTCGCATTACTCCCCCATCATCCCGCCCTTTGAGCCAGCCTCATCTACAATAGTGAGTTTCAGAACAGCTAAGACTACACAGATAGACCTTGTTTTAAAAAACAAGAACAAAAAAGAGTGTGTTTAAATTCAATATAGGTTAGTATTCTTACATATTGAGTAAGCTTAAAAGAAATTCTTTTATTTACTTAAAAATGTAAATGTAGCTTAATATTTTAAGCAACTTAGCCTGAGAAATGAAAGATCAGTAGTATAGCTACATCAATACAAGTGAGTGTATGAAGTAAAATGATTATAAAATACTTTCAGGGGCTGGAAAATTGGTTCAGCTACTTGCTGATCTTACAGAGGACACAGGTTGTATTTCTAGCCCTTATATTGGGTAGCTTACAGCTGCCTGTGCTGCCCCAGCAAGGGATCTGGTGCTCCCTCTGGACTCCACGGTCATCTGTATTCATGTGGGAAAACAACTGCAGGCATGCACACACAGTTTGAAATAACAAAATCTTTCAAAACATCAAGTGCAAATTATGCAAAACATAAAATGAAGCAAATTATATATAGCAAAATATATTTTATAATTTAATTTAATGAATATATTTGATTAAACTAGATATTTTAATAGCCTGATGCTATTTAAAATAAAAACAGAATTAATTCCTTTTGCCCTGCATCTTGTCTCATCCTTAATCCTAGGACAGTCTATTTTCACTCTCTTTCACTGGCTGCCCTGGATCTTGCTCAGTAGACCAGACTGGCCTCAGACTCAGAGAGACACTTGAGACTCTGCCTCCAGAGTGCAGGGACTAAAAGTGTACACCACTGCTCCCTGGCTCACTGTCTCTACTCTTAAACACCACCTGTAGAGAGACAATGCTGCACAGCCCTGAAGTGTTGTTACAGAGCCAACACTCAAAGACTAATCTAAGCTCGCAATAATTTCTGAAATTCTTTTTTTTCTCTGCAATTTTGTTTTGTGATCATCATGGTCAAGGTAATGAACGTATTTATCACTTCAGATAGTCTTGATTTGGACCTCTCCAAGTTCCTACCAGGCAGCTGTGGATCTGCTTCTGCTCACTTAGATTAGCCTGCATTTCTTCAGTAGTATGTATACAGATTCAGACAGCTAATACTCCTTTTCTGTGTTGTAGCATATGTCAGTATTTCCTTCCTATTGCTCTGTAGTGAAAGCTCATTGTGTGCCTGCATTAGAACTTGTTTATCCCAGTATCAGTTAGTAGCTATTAGGCTTATTTGTGATTTTTGATGACTATAGGTAAAGCGGCTGTGAACATCTGTATATTTATTTGTATGACTATACCCTGTCATTTCCCTTTAGTAGCGTTCTCATTAAAAACCTTGTAGAAACTAACTAGAGTGGGCCATCTAGCTTACGGCAGTGCGTCAAGATCAGCTTCCTGACTTGGATATTGCACTGTAGATATTACCACTGGGACAAGCAGGGAAGGATACAGTAGACTCACTGGTATATTTTTGAACCTTTTGCAAATCAATAGTTATTTCAAAATAGAACAGTTTTGTTTTTTAAAATTGTTTATTTTGATAGGCAAGTAAAGAATTCAGATTACTGATATTTATAACTGAGAGATCCTCATGATTATTTAAGAGATAGTGTCTTACCACATTTCCTCAGATGGTTTCAACCTTCTGAGCTCAGGAATCCCTCCTGCCTCAGCCTTCCATGTAGTTGAAATAACAGGCATACACCTCCATATGTGACTTGGGATCATTATTAATGATGTTTTGATAAATTCCTTTGTATATTTTTTGACAGATTTTTGTTGTACAGATCTTATAAACATTTTGCAACCCAAGGCAAACAGATAAAAGCATTTGCTGCCAACTCTGAGAACTGAGTTAAATCCTTAAAACCCACAAGGTGCAAGGAGAGAACTATGTACCATGTAGTGTACACGTGAGTACACACACACACACACACACACACACACACACACTAAATGTAACAACTTTTTGAAGATTTATAACCCAGATGGCAGGTGTGTTTACTCTTATTGCTAATTAATAACATCAAGGGCTGGAGAGATAGCTTGGGGTTAAGAGCACTAACTGCTGCTCTTGCAGAAGACCCGAGTTCCATTCCCAGCACCTACATGGTACCTCTAGTTCCAGGAGATCCAGTGCCCTCTTTTGGCCTCCTCAGGCACCAGGCATGAACAGTAGTATACAGACATACATGTAAGCACAATACCCATGCACATGAAAAAATAAAATTAAAAAACCATAAAATAGTATGTAGGAAAGTAGTTTCTATTTAAATTGTGCTGTGGTGCTGGAACCCAGTAACTAGCAATTGCTAAGCAAGTGCTCTGTCACTGGGTTACATCCCTGCCTGAAAACCATTGTTTCATAATTGTGTGTGCGTTTGAATGTTCTTCTAATTTACTTTCTTTCTTTTTCTCCCTTCCAGTTGATGACAGTGCAATTCTGGATTGCCAGTTCAGTGAATTTTATCATACTCCTCCACCTGGTTTTGAAAAAATACTATTTGAGCAGCAGATCTTCTGAATGAGTTTGTTTTCAAAACTTAGACTTCTGCACCATCCCACAAGCACTTACCACTTAATAAAGCTCCCCTTCACCTAGAAACAAAAACACATGCTGAACAGCGAGCTTCTTCTTGTTGTCTAAGAAACCCATGTATTCATTATACCATGCTGAGGTTTGATTTAAAAGATCTAGGCAATTTATTTAATCTTATTTAAACAAATAAACCATGGGTTTGATTAACAGTATTATGTGGTAACATGTATATAAATATTTAAAGGGAATTTTTTTCTTATATAAAGTATTTGTTTGACAGTGATGTGTAATTGAGTGATTATTATTTTTTGTCATCTTGAACTTGAGTTATCATAGTCTGTAATCCAATAATTTGTGTTTCCTTGTCCTTTTTGATAAAGTGAAATGGCAGAAATTTACATACCTGGCAGCTTAGTTTTGCTGATATACTTCCTCTGTTCATGGACTACTTTTCTTAAAACTGAAACTGCTTCTTTTGTTGTGTTGTATCCCTGCTTTCTGTTTCCTTTTTGAAAGATGAGAAAGTTATCAGATCATCTTGTTGAAGACCATCAAGATGAGCAAGTGGTCATTGCACGTAGTACACTGGCAGACATCTGTAAGAGTTATGATGCTTTAAATATAAATAAGCCAAGTGTGAAGGCACACACCTTTATTCCCAGTGTTTGGGAGGCAAAGTCATGTAGATTTCTGTGAGTTTGAGGCTAGCTTAGTCTCTATAGTGAGTATTATAGAAGTACCAGGACAACCTGGGCTGTGTAGGGAGAACCTGTCAAAAAAAAAAAAAATCTTAACTGTTTGCTATAAGGAATAACAAAAATGTATCCAGTATTGTATTTAAAACATTCTTCCTGTTTTGTTAATTATATGGTAATAATTATAGAAATTTTGAGACAAGTGAGTCCTGATGGTCCTGAGCCTTTGGTCTTCTTAAGTCACTGTCTATTAACAACCTAAGTTAATCATGTCTTCAGACAGTTGCACTCTTTTTCTCAAATAAGCATAGTCAGGATTCATCACAACAAGTTGTATGGCGTGTGGGGCAAGGAAAACATGGGCACTAGGATTTGGAGAACAGTTGCCCAGTGTCCTTGTGTCTTCTGCTGAGTTCATCAGAGTTCACCTTACACCAAGGGCAATCATACTGACATGCTGAGAGCCTATGACTAGTTGATGGTGTGTGAGAAATGCTTTCATTATCAGCACTTAATAAACAAAGCCACATTTGTTGTGAAGTAGTGGTGTTCATGATGTCTTAGACCAGCAGGATCACTGGGGAGCTCATTAGAATAGAGGACAGTCTTAGACCCAGCCCAGACTTCTGAAGCAGAGACTTAGGGGTACCTTCTGAAACCTGTGCATCCTAGGTTTGAAAGGGATTGCATGATGTAAAATGTCTTGGGATTTAAGGCAGGCTGGTTTTAATCCCAACTATGGAATGCTGTACAATCCATATGTTATGTAATAGACAAACATTTGGTAATGTGCTTTGCAAACATTTACATAAACCCACATTTTACCTCTGAAGATGTATAGAATTCAGACTGTATGTGTTACTTACTCATTTTCATCTGACTTTCTATTTTAGTAATTTTGATTCACAACATGTTTACCTGGGTGTGGTGGCACAAAACAGTAACCCAGCACTTGAGAGATCAAGGCCAGACTAGACTATGTACTGTAATGTTCTTGGTCTCAAAATACAGATGAGGGTAGGTTGATAAAGCTATGTGGAAAGGAGAATTCTCTAATTTCAGTATACTACTTTCAGTGATCCTAATATATCCACCTGTTATGTTTTTAGATTTTTTTATTTATGTCTGTGTGTATATATGTGCATTTGCATGTAGGTACCTAAGTCCAAAGAGTGCATCAGATCACAAGCTGGAGTTACATGCAGTTGTGAGTTGCCCAGTGTGGGTCTTGACAACCAAATTCCAGCTCTCTGCAAGAGCAGCAAGTGGTTTTAATGGCTGAACCATCTGACCAACCCCAAACTCTTATTTATATTTTTAAAAGCTATCTTTTAATCATCACATTCTTTTTTTTCTAATACTGTATTTTTTTCCTTTTTCTTTTTTTTTATAATTTATTTATTTTTTTCAAATCATAATTCATTCACACAGGGGTTATAAACACAGAAAGGCAGGATGTGGGGAAGGGAATGACACTGGAGTGTGGGTGTTCAGGGGGAATACAGATATCTTTCAGAACAGGGTATCGGCTGGGTGAAGGTTCAGGGAACAGGTCACTATGACTCTGCCTATGATTCACTTGTCCTTATCTAAGTTGGTATTGTCTGCCAAGGCTACCTGTTTACAAGGTCTATGACTACTCAGGCTGGTAAATTTCCATGAAAGCTACCTGTTTACAATAGCTTATAGCCATCTGTTTCAATGTTTTTCCACAGAGACCCAAGACTTGGTGTTAGAATACATGTATGACAGGCCTATTGCTGATTTTAGAGAAGGGCCACCCAGAACCCCCTCTGACTGGCAATCTGAATTCTTGCTTAGGCTGCAAGGCTAAGCACTGCGAGGGAATATAAATAAATGTTAAAAATATCTCTCTGGGTTCCCTGAGGGACAAGCCTGACTGCATAGGGGTTGATGTCAAAAGTATCCCCTCTCCAGGTAAAAGACATCGGGATGGATATGGCCCTCATGCCTCACTGGACAATGACAAGGGGACTGGAGCCATTACAAACTCCCCTTCAATTACTGGAGGTCAGGCCTCTATCCGTGCCTTCGCAAGATTAGAATTGCCACAGCCCTTCTATACTTAGAGAAGGGAGGAGATGTCAGGGACATCCCTGCTTACACACTGAAAGCCTAAAATCCGCCATAGGCCTAAAATATTGTATTTATTCACTGACAATCTTATACATGTATGAACTAGATGTTTCTTTCCATTTTAATATTATAATCACATCATTTCCTTCTTTCCTCCCTTTAGGCCCTCTTATATAACCCTCTTTGCTCTCTATTCATGGCCTCTTTTTTATTGATAAATTGTTACATGCATATATATACATGTAACATATATTCCTAAATGTAACCTGCTCAGTCTGTATAATGTTAGCTCATCTGTGCACATGTGCAGGGCTGACCATTTGGTATTGGATAACCAACTGGTGTTCTCTTTCCTGGAGAAGACTATTTCTCCCACTCTGCATTTCTTAGCTGCCTGTAGTTGTGTAAGTTTGAGACCATGTGGTCTTTCCCTTGTCCACTTTGGCATGTCTGTTGTTCTTGTTCAGCTCATGTTTAGTCAGTCATGTTAATGAGACTTTCAGGGTATAGCTTCTGACATTACTAGGAGACACAGTCTCAGAGCAAACTCACTGATCTGGCTTTTACAGTCTCTCCCCTCCCTTTTCTACAGTGTTCCCTGAACCCGAGGCCTGGGAGTTGTCTTGTAGATGTACCCTCTAGGACTGTGTTCCACAACTCTTCATTTCAGTTGTTATGGTTTTCTGTAATGGATTGTGGTGCAGATGGACCTGTTATTATGGATCTGTTGCAAAGAAAAGTTCTACCGGGGGAGAAGGACTATATACTCTTATTTGAAGATTAGAACTAGGATCCTCCAATAAATGAGAGCATGTGACATTTGTCTTTCTAGGTCTGACTTACCTTACTCAATATGATCTTTCTATCTATCTAACCTTCAAACTTGATGATTTGATTTGATTTACAGCTGAATAGTATACTATAGGATACCACATTTTCTTTTTTTTTTTTCTTTTTTTTTTTTGGTTTTTCGAGACAGGGTTTCTCTGTATAGCCCTGGCTGTCCTGGAACTCACTCCAGGCTGGCCTCGAACTCAGAAATCCGCCTGCCTCTGTCTCTGCCTCCCAAGTGCTGGGGTTAAAGGCGTGTGCCATCACCGCCTGGCAGGATACCACATTTTCATTATCCACTTGATTGAGGGCATTTACGTCTATCCGTGTCCTAGCTATTGTGAAGAGAGCAGTAATGAACATAGCTGAGCCAAGTATCTGTGGAGTAGGATGTAGAGTCATCTACATGCCAAGGAGTGGAATATCTGGGCCATATGGGAATTTATTTTAGATTATTTCTGAGCGTTCTCCATACTGATTTTCATAGTGGCTGCACCAGCTTGCCATCTCACCAACAGTAGATGAGGGCTCCCTTTGTGTCACACCCTGTTTAACACGTTATTGCTTGTTTTGTTGATCTTTGCCATTCTGGCTGGGATAATACTTTTATGAAACACTACCTGTCATATGTTAGCTGTAATCCTTAGGTAACAAGAAGTCCTTTTCTATATCTATAACATGGAGGGTACTGTATATTTTCTTCTAACAACTTTAGTGTTTCAGGTTTTATTTTAGGGCTTTGATCCATTTGGAGTTAGTTTCTGTGTGGTACTGATCTAATTTTCATTTTCTATGTGGACATCCAGTTTTCTCAGCACTATTTGTTGAAGGTGCTTTCTTTTCTCCAGCTTATGTCTTTGGCATCTTTGTCAAATATTAAGTGGCTGAAGTTACAAGTATTCGTGTTTGGATCTTCATTTTGTCCCATTGGTCTACATGTCTGTGCCAGTAACATATAGTTTTTATTACTATAGCTCTGTAAGGTATCTTAAGATCTGAAATTGTAATCCCTCCAGCATTGTTATTTTTGTTGTTGTTCAGGTTTGTTTTGGCTATCTGGGGTCTTTTGTGGTTCTATATGAGTTTTAGGGTGGCATTTCTTATTTCTGTGAAGAATAAGATGAATATTTGGGTGATTTGGGATTGCACTGAATTTGTAAATAGCTCTTGGTAAGATGGTCATTTTCACAGTATTTATTCTACCAATCTATAAGAGTGGGATGTCTTTCCATTTCTAGTGCCTTTCTCTACCTCTTTTTTCAGAGGTTTGAAGTTTTCACTGTAGAGGTCCATCACTTCCTGGTTAGGCTTATCCCTAGATATTTTATTTTACTTGATATTATTGAATTGAGTCCATGATCTCTGTATGCTTGGTGGTGGTATATAGAAAAGCTTTTGATTGACGCAACCTGGTTCTGTATTCTACCACATTCCTGTATTTGTTTATAAGTTCTAGAAGTTTTGTGGTAGAAAGGGTTGATGTTTATCTGTCTTTAAATTCAGAGGTAAATTTTTATATGTAATTTAGTTCATAAAATATTTGGTGCAGGGCTGGAGAGATGGCTCAGCCATTAAGAGCACTGACTGCTCTTCCAGAGGTCCTGAGTTCAACTCCCAGCAACCACATGGTAGCTCACAACCATCTGCAGTGGGGTCTGATGCCCTCTTCTGGTGTGTCTGAAGAGAGCAATGGTAAATACATAAAAATAAAAAAAGAAAAAAAAGGTTTGGTGCATATGTTTAGGATGTATGTTTAGGATAATAATGTCTTCTTGGTTGACTGCTCCCTTGATAAGAATAACGTGTCGCTTTTCATATCTTCTGATTAGTTTTATTTCGAAGTCTGTTTTGTCAGATATTTGGATAGCAATGCCTGCTTGCTTCCTAGTCCTATTTGATTTGAGAACCATTGTCCTTCCTTTTATTCTAAGGATATACCTATCTTTAAAGCTAAGATGTGTTTCTTGTAGACACTAATGGATTTTCTTTCTTGAGCCATCCAGTAAGCCTTAATAAAGAAGCCATTGATATCTAAAGTTAATATTGAAATATGTCTATTCATTGTGGTCATGGTGTGTTGGTTTTTGGTGTTGTTTCTGTTCTTGGTGGTACTCTATAGTATAATAATTATGGCTTCATATTTCTTTCCATAGCCTCTCTGCTATGTTCATTACTCTCTTTAGCCCAAAATATTGCTTCCTATACTTGCTTTGAGTTTGGTTTGTTGGGTATAAAATGTTTAGGGTGTTTATGTTGTAGGAAGTGTCTCTTTCTTTTTCAATCATGCTAGGTCAGTATTCCTGGCTATATTACTCTAGGATGGTCATCATAGTCTTCTAGGATTCTGCATTGTGTCATGCTCTTCTAGCTTGCATGGTTTCCATTGAGAAATCAGCTGTTATTCTCATGGGTTTTTCTTTATATGTGACTAGCATGTTCACCTCTTATAGCTTTTAATACACTTTCCTTGCTCTGTACACTTATTGTTTTAACTATAATATTATTATGTGGATTTTCTCTTCTGGTCTTGTCTGTTTAGTGTTCTATATGCTGTTTGTATCTATTTGGATATGTCTTTCCTTAGTTTGAGAAAGTTTTCTTCTGTGATCTTGTTGAAGATATGCCCTATGCCATTGACTTAGGATTTCTTTCTCATCTATGCTTATAATCCAAAAGTTGTTATTGTTGTTGTTGTTTTAAGGAGGTCCCACATGTTCCTTTCCTGTGGGTTTGGGTTGTTTGTTTGTTTTAGTTTTTCATATTCCTTGTTGTTTGGTCTAGATACTCTGTCTTCCAGTCCTGATATTCTGTCTTCTCCTTAATTCATTCTATTATAAGGCTTTCCCTTGAGTTTTCTCATTGAGTTTTTGAGGTTTTCAATTGTATCTTCATTTTGGCTTTATT